GAACACTCAGAAAAGCGAAACAAAATTTAGATTTTAGAAATAAATAGCCTTTAGCCATCAACGAATAGCCGATGACTTTTCAAGAGTTGTTTTCGTTAAAGGATGATTCCTTTATTTTTGTGCAATTTTTGCTCTTTAATAACGACAAAAAAAAAAGATAAAAAGAACATTACGTAAAGCATTAAGTATCACCTATAGTATTTAACAACCTTCATTGGTGGTAGTTCATATATATTTCTGCTGTTTTTTTGTGTATAAGTTATTGTCCTGAATAAACATCTTTATGCGTTTGTGCGTTTTTGCGTTTCAGTTTTTATTGTGAAATTTCTTCTATCAGCAAAGACAAACTTTAAATTCGGCCGTTATAAATGTTTTCGCTAGAAATCCATGTATAATTATTTAATAGCTACAAATTTAATCATTATCTAGTGCCCTTAGATGAGATTTTCCGAGACGCTGGGTTTGAAATGGGGTATCCCATTCAATTTATACAATATTCGGAATTTTTAAAAGATGCAGATGGAAATTTTCGGTCCTTATGAATGTGTTCGCAAGGAATTAAATCATAACTCCTTGTAGGGTCATCAAAAAGCAACTATTTAGGACCCCCTTGGATTAAAGATCTTCCAAGACAACTGGTTCGAACGTTCAGTTAAACATATGTCTTTTTTTAAACATAATATTAATGGACCTGGCACATTGAAGTCTTGTCCAAAATATGATTATTATACGACACAAACGGAGCAGGATTTGCTTACCCTTCCTGAAAACCATAAATCATCACGGTTTTTTACAGGGTTCTTGTTGCTCAGATTTTATTTTCAATGTTGTGTTTTGTGGACTGTTGTGTGTCTTGTTGTTTTTCATTTTAGCTGTGGCTTTGTTGGTTTGTTTCGACCTTTTTTTAGTGTGATTGCCCCTTTGGTATCTTTCGCCTCTCTCTTATATATGATATCACAATAATTATATATATATGTAAGCGTCCATATGCATACAATGCTGAATTAAACATAATAATTAGATAAGTGAAAAAAAGAAAATGAAGAAATAGAAAAAAGGGGACATAAACAGGAGAAGTAGAAGGCAAGATATAAGGATATTTGTACGAGTGAGGAGTTGGCATTCTTAGTGTTTTACACAACAAGGAATGTTTTAGGTCGTGTTATAAAGACAAACGCTTATTCATTCTGGTCGTAAGTTAGTCTGTCATCCTCAAACGTGTTAGCAATGGTGTACCTTCTCGAATTTGTAGAATACATGGGATTTTCAAAGATTTAGACGAACATGTTCGAAACTTTATAATAATTTAGAAATTGATCAAATCAAATAATCCATGTGTGATTGTTTCGTTATTGAAATTCTAAATATGTTTAACCGCGCTAAATATTATATATGACAATCATACAAATAAGTCAGGAACGGGGGTTCAACCTGTAATTTAGTAGTTGTTGTTTGTTACTGTATATCATATTTGTTTGTCGTATCATAGATATAATAGCCATAGATCTATGGCTATTATATCTATGGTCGTATACAGTTTTGTAAATCAATCAAGCCGTTGGTTTTTCTCGTATGAATTGTTTTACCACTATGGTAAATGGTGTCGGCGTTTGCTGCATGTGGAAGTGCATACATTTACATTTTATAGCTTATACGCAGAGTTTCTTCTTTCCGCTAGTGATATATAGTCACCATTTGCACTGATATACGAACGGCCGTCTATCCTTCGCTCCAAAATATTTTGCAACATTTTAGTTTTTGGAACAATATCGCAAAGTTTAAGGAAGACATGTGTAGCTATTTATTGAGATAAACTGTATTAATCTTTAAATTTCGGAATTGTCTAGCAACTATTTCCAAATGGCGTACCGTTAAGACGTTCGAGGCTATTCAAGTAATAAGGAAACTTTGGTTAACGCAACAGCATTGTCAGCCAAGTAGTTAATTGTTGTTTGACAAACTCGAAAGGAGGGAGGAAAGTAATTAAAATGCTACTTAGCATTTACTTAATTCTTATAACGAAATAGATGTGCACAATATTTTAGATACAGATAGTGCATTTCTAAATATAAAACACTTTTTTAATAGAAACATTTGAAATAAATACATCAACAGTGTTTATTTTAAAATTGGTCAAGTCTGTAGGGCGGCAAAAGTAGAAGTCATTGTTATTTTTTTCCTCCTCACTGAAATGCGATACTTTTAATACTAATCCGTAAATATGATTAAGTTTTCGGTATATTTCTTATCAATAGAGTATGCATGTACCAACCAAAGAAATATGACTGTATCCCGGGTTATTACTCCCGAAAAGAGAAATAAAATCAAATCTGGAACTAGTCTCCGTTACCCAGACGGTTGAATTTTACAAATCAATATGTGATACAAGCTGGGACTATTATACTGGTTAGTATAATAGTCCCATATACAAGTGGAAAATATCAATGAATTAAAAAACAAGAATGTTAAAAGTGACGCCACCGAATTTCGTACTTAATCTGTATTTTGTAGTAATAAGCATTGTGTATAAGTTTCATAACATTTGGTTGAGGCAAACTAAAGTTAGAGAACGGAAACAACTTGAAAAAATATACATTATCTTAGTTTTGAGGTAATGAATATTGTGTATAGGTTTCATAATGTTTGGTTGGGGCAAACTTAAGTTACAGAATGGAAACTAAAAATTTTGCAATCTTTTGATTTATAAAGGTGCACAACTCAATAATGGTTAAAGTGACACTACCCAAATTCAACTTCATCTGTGTTTTATCAGTGGAAGGCATTGTATAAAGCATTGATTGTAGTTGATTCAACTATAATCATGGACAAAGGAAGATAACTCCAATTTTAAAAATTACTTGAATAATGACATTGATATTTTTAGAAATTACATTTAGTTAAGACAAACTCAAGTTAGAGAACGGAAACGAAAAATTCAGTAATTTTTTCATTTGTAAAGGGGCATAACCCTAGAACGGTAATCAAAGTGCTTGAAAGCACTGAATGGTAAAGATTGCTTTAATTTATCAGTAGGAAGTAAAATTGAATATTGCATTGTATAAAGCATTGGTTGTAGTTGATTCAACTGCCATTATGCACACAGAAAGATAACTCCAATTTTCAAAGAAGACTTTAAGATATTTTTAGAAATGAAGGGTAAAAATTGCCTTAATTTATCAGTGGAAGGCAAAATTAAACATTGCATTTTATAAAGCATTGATTGTAGTTGATTCAACTATAATCATGGAGAAAGGGAGATAACTCCAATTTAAAAATGACTTGATATTTAGAAAAAAAAAGTAAAGGGCATAACTCTAGAACAGTAAAAGTGACATCACCAAAATTCAAACTTGGTCTGTATATTGTGGTAATAAGCATTGTGTATAAGTTTCATAACATTTGGTTGAGGCAAACTTAAGTTAGAGAACGGAAACGAAAAATTTAGCAATTTTTCCATTTGTAAAGGAGCATAACTCTAGAACGGTAAGAGTGACACCACCAAAATTCAAACTTGATCTGTATTTAGTGATAATAAGCATTGTGTATAAGTTTCATAACTAAAGTTAGAGAACGGAAACCAACTTTGGGAGGTACGGACAGACGGACGGACAGATGGACAAGGGTAAAACTTAATGCCCCCTCCGCTACGGCGGGGGCATAACAATATTTTAATCAAACATAACTCTGTGTATTTACAATAAGTAGTTTTTAAGTAAACAAGTTAGTTAAGTTGTTTAAACGAGTTAGTTAAGTTGTTAAAACAAGTTAGCTAAGGGGTGTGTGTGTGTGTGATCGGATATTTTTTTGAAACAAGATACCCCAAGGATGATTATTATTACATGGTAAGCGATTAGGTCAAATTTATCACTCAAGACTTCGAATGCAATGCAGTTCTCTAAATCAACATCTTTTTGTTAAAAATATAGTGGCCTCACCACTTTGTTTATGTGGTGCTATAGAAACAACAGCGCATTACTTGTTGCACTGTCCCCGATTTCACATCATGTGTGAACAGCATTTTTATAACATCAGAATCATACACTTCTTGTCAGAAGAAATTTTGCTATACGGTTCAACGGAACTCAGCTACGAACAAAACATTGAAATATTCTTGGCAGTTCAAACATTCATACTCAGTAGCAAAAGATTTGTCATATAATTTCAAACATCTTGTTCAACAAGTCTACAGTGCATATTTATATCTTAAATAATTGTGTCCGTTCAGAAACATGCACTTTATTATTGTACTTCCGATGTTTCTGATTTTTTTTTCTCTCTTCTTGTGTTCACAACCTTATTATATGTCTTGTTTTCCATCTAGTGTAACATTATTTAATTTTATACATTCTACTCCTTGAGTATTACAATATGAAATGTTCTTATTTGAATTCGGAAACGGATTAATATAAGTTAACAGCTTGTTTCCAGATCCTATTAATTATTCAATTGTATTAATATGTAAATGCCAAATTGTGTACATTATTTATCTTGAATTTAATTAATAAAATATGTTTACACTAAGGATGATTTTGGCCATATTTGCTTAAATTTTGCCAGTAGTTTCAGAGGAGAAGATTTTTGTAAAAATCAACGACGATGACGGATGCCAAGTGAGGAGAAAAGCTCACTTAGCCCTCTGGGCCAGGTGAGCTAAAAAAGCAATGGACAAAAAGCAAAAGTGTCGGACAAAAAGCAAAATTATCGGACAAAAAGCAAAACGGACAAAAAGCAAAAGTGTCGGACAAAAAGCAAAATTATCAGACAAAAAGCAAAACGGATAAAAAGCAACGGACAAAAAGCAAAATTATCGGACAAAAAGCAAATTGCGGACAAAAAGCATCGTATCATACCAGTAAACATTTTTTAACAACTGACACTGAATAATTACAACAGCTAACATGGCCCATAAGACGAGGTGTCAAGTGAGTTAACAAAAGTACAATATCAGCCAGCACAACAATGGAATCATATCTAAAAGGAAGATCAAATAAAATGAAGAATGATAAAACAAACAATTTATTTTTGTCATGAATCTGGAGATCTGTTTCTGTGAAGTTGTGGTCGTAGTGATGATAAAGTGATCAAAATGGCTTCCTAAAAAGAGAGAAATATCTTTCAGTATAAAGCATAATAATTTGTTTCCATATGTTCACCTAGAAATGCATGAATTATTTTTGCGAAAACCCCCCTTTTTTTTTTACAAAAAAAAACAAATATCTCTAAAATAAAATTTTGAATCAAAACAAAAAAGTATACAGATCTTTAGATTAATATAACTAAGAAGTGTGTAAACTTTTAAGCAATAATCATAAATCGTTTTTGAGATACGGCGCGACATGTGAAAAAAAACCCTCCCCCTTTTTTTACAAAATACTCAATAACTCAAATATAAAATTTTGAATCATCACCAAAAAGTGTACAGATCTTTAGATTAATATAACTAAGAAGTGTGTAAAGTTTTAAGCAATAATCATAAATTGTTTTTGAGATATGGCGCGACATGTGAAAAAAAAAACACGCACCTGTTTTAGTTACTAAGTCCTGTAACTCAAAAAGTTTTAATCTTATTTTCACCAAAAAGTATACAGATCGTTTGACCTTCATAAGAAACAACTATTTTAAGTTTCATGAAATTTGGATAAGTCGTTCTCAAGTTACGGTGCGACATATTTACGCCGGACAGACAGACGGACAGAAGGACAGATGGACAGACAACATTTGTATACCATAATACGTCCCGTCAAAATTTTGACGGGCGTATAAAAACTATGAAAGAAGGAGTGTTTTGGGCCTGTAAATATAAAAAAAAAATGAAAAAGGTTCTCCTGAACACTTTGTCTCGTCTGGACTGCTGTTGGCAGTGTAAATTGAATGTTGACTGACAAAGAAGCTTCTGTCCAACTTTTGTAACATTCCATGAAGAATTGACAAAGATATTTAAGTTTTAAAATCTTTTACCACAGACTGTACCTAAATATTTAAGGTGAATAATAAGTCCATTATTTAGTTAAGTACAGCAAAGCAATGAACAAAATGTAAATTTTACTCTTGATAGTAATTTTTGATTTTTGAGATGCTTCTGTAAAAATTTCAAGAAATTCTATGAAGGTTTGAAAAAGGTTATCAAAGTTTTAAAAACTTTAAAAAAAAAAAAGTATCTGAATATTAACTGCGAAAAATTTTATCAGTAAAACACAGAAAAGTAAAAAAAAATGTTTAAACTTCAGTTCTGTCTAAGTTATTTGATGTCTAAAAAACTTTAACTCCAGAATGTATCTAAATGGTAATTAAAAAATACTTTTCTCATCTATCAGTAAAATACAGAAAAATAAAAAATATGTTTTCAAAATCTTGTATCAGATGCTAACTCTTATTTATACAGAATCTTTTGTTTCAATTTCATAAAATTCTATGAAGGTTTGACAAAGTTATTGATTTCTACCGTAATCGGCCCTGTATAGTTCGCACTGTTACATTGACGGCATCCCCTTCTCGTCACGAGAATTCAGGAAAAAAACTGTTTGTAACTGTTTGAAAATGTCCAATGAAACTCTGGTAATTTCAAATCGAGTGTGATCATTTGCGGTATTTTCATGGAAAAACATGTTTTTCATCATCAAATAGAAGTTGAAATTCTTGTAAACGATTCTAGAAAACTTCACGAGTGTTAAAATAAGTCAAAATCACAAAAAACAAGTAATTGAGTAACTTGTGTTTGTTTAAACAGCAACTTCGAATAGCACATGTAAATGAAAATAAATACGGTGAGAGTGTTCAGAAAATCTGTACTTAATAAATATCACTAGAATACGACTTTGAAAGTAAAACAGTTCCATCCTCAAGTAAAATAATGTTTAACATATCTATCACCTTAATGTGTGAAGGATCTTAAGCTAAAACAAACATGTGTTAGTACGAAACACCAAGACGGAACGAATAACTGATTATGTTTTGTAGTTTATACATCGTTATGCATAAGCTGGTTCCTGGCTGACTTATTACACTTTTTCCTTTTGTTAAATTTGAATGGATTCCATTTTCTTTTATGCAATGCAGTGAAAAGAAACGAGAAATCTGTAATGAAGCATTTAATTTTGAAATTTATCAGTTTATATTTGATATGGAACAAAAAAAGCATATTAATATGGATTATTAGTTTTGAAAATCATAAGATCGCCCTCTACAATTTCAATAACAAACCTGGCAGAACTTAAAACAAACCTTGTGAAATCAAATTTTTCTCTTATTTCTTGCTTATCATACTCTATAATCTGCACCCCTTGTGGCAGGTTCAATTTTGGAGAATAAAACCGTGGACTATACAAGCCTGAATTGGGTAATAAAACTTTAACCCCAGACTATATCTATACAATGTGCATATTCAAAAGGCTGTGTCCTTTCACAATACTAATTTTCTAAAATGTTTTTCCTTATTGAATAAAATTGAGAATGGAAATGGGGAATATGTCAAAGAGACAACAACCCGACCAAAGAACAGACAACAGCTGAAGGCCACCAATGGGTCTTCAATGCAGCGAGAAAATCCCGCACCCGGAGGTGGTCCTCAGCTGGCCCCTAACTAAAATTGTGTGCTAGTTCAGTGAAAATGGACGTCACACTAAACTCCAAAACATATAAATGAACTAAAATTAAAAAACATACTAGACTAACAAAGTTTGGAAGTTTGGATTCATCTTTTCAAATTGATCAGCTGATAACATATTTTAGCTAACTGATAGTAAAAGGTTATTTTTTGGGTAGCAATAATTGTGCTTTATTCTATTTCTCTGTATGTATAAAGTCAAGGTTTATTATAATTTTGTCACTTTGCCACATTTATTGTTATATCATGTCCATGTAAATCATGAAAAGAAAATAATTAAAAAAAAACAATCTTTTATAGCGATATATGTTTGATGGAAAAAATGAAATTAGTACCACCAACCATGTACTCTTAAAAGAAAGGGAAAAATTTCACATTGAATTACCTCCCTTTTAACATAAAAAAGAAGTTATATGTAAAAATTTGATAGACACTTGAGAAAAAGGATACACTAATAATATCATTCATTGGTTAATTTTTGGGTGAAGAAATTGGTGTTAGTAATGAAAAATAAACAGAGCAGGGATTTATAATTAATTATCTCCCCTGTTATATAGAATGGATACATTTCCCAAGAGATAGTCAAATATTTGATTTGATTCAACATAAAAAGAAGTTAGTTTATAGGAAAAATTAAAACACATCTATAGTTCTTATTATAAAATGTATAGGGCTTTGTTCAGGATTGTAAATGTAAATTTTGTTTTTTTGACAAATTAAAAAAAATCAGTTCTTGTATTAGTAAAGAGAAAGAAAATGCAAAAATGCAAAATTAATATGACTATTATTGCACAAATACAATATATGTATATATATATATATTATCTAAACATAGTAAATTGGTGTATAAGTCAAATTAAATGAGCTTTCTTATATGTGTAAGAGTTCAAATATTATTATTGATTAATGCACATAGATATATAACATGTTAGATTGGATATAGACAATGTAAATACATGGTTTATAGAAATTTAAAGTGCTTTTCAGTCTTTAATTTCACTTGTTAACATATTCATGAATTTTTATAGTAAAAAACAATGTTTGACTTTGTCATCTTGGAATGTGCGTGGCCTCGGAGATAAGATTGAAGATCAAAGGTTTATTGATAAAATTAAAAGTGATATAAATATATTACTCGAAACATGGAAAGGAAGTTGTAAAGATTATAATATTGAAGGCTTTAATTGTATTTCAAAAGTCAGAAAAAAGCGCAAAAATGCAAGAAGGCACAGCGAAGGCATAATTGTTTATTATAGAAAAGAGTTAGAAAAAGGCATACAAAATATTGTAAATGGCACTTCATCAGAAAACAGATTATGGGTTAAACTTGACAAAAACTTCTTTGGTTTTTTAGAAGACGTATACATGTGTGCAGTATATGTACCGCCTATATCTTCTGTGTACTCTGAAAATGATTTCATGTCTTTAGAAAATGAAATTTCTATTTTCTCTGCTAAAGGGAAAATTCTTTTATTAGGAGATTTTAATAGTAGAATTGGAAATAAACCTGATTTTGTAGTACAGGATTCAGCAGAAATAAATAGATTTGATGGCTCAAAATTATTGCCAGAGAATTATATGATTGATGATGAAATAGTAAGACAAAATCAAGATAAAATTTATAATTCACAAGGTAAATCTTTATTAGACTTGTGTATATCTTCGAGGTTGCGCATATTAAATGGCAGATACATGGGAGACAGTTTAGGTTATTGCACATTTATGTCTGTAAACGGGTCAAGTACAGTTGACTACGGAATTGTTAGTGAGAGTCTCCTATCCTTGGTAAAATATTTTAAAACAGATTGTTTTTCATATATGTCTGATCATGTACAGATACAGGTCACCTTAAAATGTGATATAAAAATATATCCTAATATACAGTTGGATAAAAAAAGATGGAAAAATGTAAAAAGATACATTTGGAAAGAGGATTCTGAAAATTTCAGAACAAATGAAAAATAATATAATCAACTTTGAACTAGAAAATTTTCTGAATGTCAAAAAGGTGTTGATGGAGCAGAAGAAAAGTTAACACAAATATTTGAATAAATCTCTGAAATTTCATGTAAAATAAAAAAAACAGGGATAAAAAGAAAAAAGAAAAAGTTTAAACAAGTTTGGTCAGATAATTCAATTTATGAAACCAAAAAAGAAATAAACAGTATTTGAAATAAAATTAAAAAATGTCCTAGTAATCATTTGAAAAACAAATACTTTGAAATGATAAAAAAACTAAGAAAAATGACTAAAATAAAGAAAGCAGAATATAAGAAGAAAATTTTTGATAACCTTACAGATACATTTAATAAAAAACCAAAAGACTACTGGGATATAATTAAAAAGTTTAAAAAGATAAAAGAAGTTGACCAGGGAATTCCACCAATTTTACAAGATGAAGATAAAATTAAAAAACACATTCAACAACAAGGCAATCCAAAATCATGTGATGAAAATTTTAGCCAGGAAATAGAAAATAAATTAAAGGAGTTTGAGAATAACATAGTATTTAAAGAAGAAACTGATACCCCCATCACATGTAAAGAGGTTAAAAATTTAATACATAGATTAAAAAAGGGTAAATCATCAGGTCCAGATAATATAATAAATGAAGTTATAAAATATAGTAAAAATGTAACACTGAAAAGTATTGTCAAACTCTTTAATTTGATATTAAATACTAGTATTTATCCTTCTTCATGGCAAAACTCATTTGTAGTTTTGTTACACAAAGCAGGCAATAAAAGTGACCCTAATAATTATAGAGGTGTTTCCTTAATAGATTGTCTACCAAAATTATTTAATGCTATCTTAAATGAAAGACTTATAAAAAAAATGGAAGCTGCTGTCAGTAAAAGTCAATTTGGTTTTCGTAAAAATCATAGGACTTCTGACAGTATCTTTGTATTAAAATCATTAATAAATAAATATTTACATAAAAATAAAAATAAAATATATGCATGCTTTGTAGATCTAAGGAAGGCCTTTGACTCTGTATGGAGAAAAGCCCTCCTTTATAAACTTTACAACCTAGGAGTTGGTAAAATTTTTTATAATATTATTAAACAACAATATATTAACACTAAATCAGCTATCAAAGTGCAGAATCAACACTCAGACTTTTTTGAAATATCAAGAGGGGTCAAACAAGGAGATTCTTTAAGCCTCTCTTTGTTTAATCTTTTTATGAATGATATTGAAAGTGAACTCTCAAAAAATGATAATTATCCTTTAAAATCAGTTTCTTCTGAGGTAAATTGTCTTATGTTTGCAGATGATCTACTTATACTTTCAGAAAGTAAACAAGGTTTGCAAAATAGCTTAAATAATTTAGAAGAATATTGTGACACCTGGCAACTTACACTAAATGTTAACAAAACTAAAACTATGATTTTGCAAAACAAAAACATTAAATTAGAACAATCTTTTGTTAAATATAAAGATATAAATTTGATAAATGTTTCAGAATATAAATTTTTAGGTATTCTTATTAAATGTAATGGTAATTTTAATCACAGCTCTGAAGAACTAGTAAAAAAGGTGAAAAAGGTAATGTTTGCTATTAAATCCTATACTGGTTCTTTAAATAATATCCCTATTAAAGTAGCATGTAGTTTGTTTAATACTATGGTGGAACCAATTGCTACATATAATTCAGAGGTTACTTTTATGGATACATATATAACATTATATAGAGCTGTCCAGAGGGCAAATGTATCCCATAAAGAAATTGACTTTCTTGATTTTACTAATAAAACTTGTTTTGAAAAACTTCATTTATCATTTTGTAAATATATTTTGGGAACACAATAAAAATGCATCAAATTTAGCAGTTAGAAAAGAATTAAGTCGCTATCCATTAGAATTAAAAATAAAGGTCCAAAGTTTACTATATTTAACAAGACTTCTAAATAATTGTATAAATCCCTTATTGTATGAGGCTTTCACTCTATCAAAGAATCTAGACTCAGCAGGATGTTACACATGGTTTACGTATATAAAAAAGATTGCAAAGGAAGCAAATGTAGATTTTAAACATATTGAGGAGTGTAAGAATCTAAACCAAATAAAAACACTTAAAACTGAATTAAAAGTTAAACTCCTTAATCATTATGAAAATTATATAAACATAAATTTGAGAAAATAGATAATAGCAGTAAACTTCTATTATATAAAACATTAAAACAAAGTAATAAAATAGAAACATATCTGAATTCTAATATATTTGAAAATAGACGTAATATCACTAAATTAAGATTAAGTGATCATAATTTATTAATAGAAAAAGGGAGACACCTAAAAATCCCTAGAGAAAACCGGTTGTGTCAGTCCTGCAATACAATTGAGGATGAAAAACATTTTCTTTTGTATTGCAGGAAAAACGCTTCCATTAGACCAGTTTTTATTGAAAAATTAACAAAGGCTAAAAGTATAGAAAATTTTAATAGCCTCAATGAAAATGAAAAAAATGATAAATATTCTTTGCCCATCAACACAAAAACAGGTAGAAAGCATAGGTTCCTTTATTAAAAAGTCATTGGCACTAAGGATAGGGGACTCATAATTGAATTTTGAACTATTTTCATTAGTTTGTTTAATATGATTATACATGCTTTTTTCTTGTCATTATGTTAATGTTGTTTTTGTCACAAATCGTATAAGTTGGTTTATATGGCAATAAAAGTTTGATTGATTGATTGATTGTAAAACTCTACCCTAAAGCAAGAACCTACTTTACTATTAGTATACTCTCTTTAACATAATAATAATTGAATATTTTTAATCTTTTACGTTTGAATGATAACTTTAACGCCTTCTATTTTTTAATTTAAAAAAAAATTTAAATTTAAACTGCATTCTGTAAACAAAAATATCTGTTTACAATTTTTCTTTCTCTATAACTCACTTCAGTTCTGATGGTGCGACTCCCTTGACACGGGCAGGTGTTGAGGTAATGTTGGAACAACAAGCTGGGATTATCTACATTCAGCGCTTCATCTGCATCTAAACTTGCCTCTAAACCTTGAACACCACCAAATACTACTAGTGCATGTCTGAAAACAGATGTTACAAATTGTCAAAAAGCAAGTTTAAAAAACCTATATAACTGAACAATCTGCTCCATGTTCCTCTTAGATTGATAAAAACTGACCAATCTGCTCCATATCTTAGATTGATAAAAATGATAAAAAAAACAAAAATAAACAAATGTAATTTGATATGATGAGCTGCATATAATGACAAAATTTTGAAAGGAAACATGAGAGCTATCTAACCAAAAGACCTAAACGACAGAAACTCTTGCTAAAAATCAATATATCTAAATGGCAATATGGTGATCGAACTCTTAACATAACCAAACATCTTACAAATAAGACATCTTCTTTACAAAAGTCCTTGGAGAGATTGTTTAGTTGTCATGTGACCAGTTTAATACACATAAAATTAATGTGGTTAAATATCTATAATCTAAACAGAAGACATGTTTAATTTTGTATTTTTTATACAGTGTTGTATAAATAACACATAGCTGAGAGGGTGATAGAGCAGATTGTTACCCAGAGAAAACAGTACCAACCCTCTTAGGTATGTGTTATGTTATTTAATTTATCAAACTCAATGTTCTGCCAATATTGTCTTTTAAATTTTAAATTGGAAATGATTAACTATGACGTCATGGTCATAACGTTGCAGTTATTGGAAAAACAACAAAAGTGAAGCAAGGTGTATCTTTTATTTTGACAGTCTATGAAAAAAGTTCAGAGGCCAAAACATAGCAATTGAGCATTTTCTTTAAAATCATTGATGTAAATTCTATTCATTGTACTTTAAATTATCAATTTTGATTTGTCTGAATGGGAGGATAATATTCAATAAAATGCTCCGCTGGGGCGCAACTTGATACGACCGCAGAGGTCGAACCCTGAACAGTTGGGACAAGTATGGACACAACATTCAAGCTTGATACAGCACTGAATTTGGATTGTAATTAAATATTTGACACAGCATAGGTTTCTGACACAGAATGAATGTGGTCTAAGAACTTTAAAATTTTTAATTTACCTATTCAAACCATATCATTATTTTTTGCTTTTATATATAAATCAGAAATAACCAATTTAAAATGGAAAATTTTAAAGAAAAAAAAGGAAAAAAAAATCCCCCCCCCCAAATTTGTTGAACCCCCTTATGATTCATCACCCCCAAACTCAATCCCTGCCTTCCCTTTGTGGTATGGTACCTTGCAGTACAATTTCAGAGAGATCATACACTTGAACACAAGTTATTATCTGGAAACTAGAAAAATGCTTGTTTTTTGGCCCCAAATTCCTAAACGTTTAAGGCAATTACCCCCAAACTCAAACCCAGCTTTCCCTTTGTGATATGGAACCTTGTAGTACAATTTCATAAAGATCCATACACTTACACACAAGTTATTGTCCTGAAACTAGAAAAATGCTTGTTTTTTTGCTCCTTATGGCCCCTAATTCCTAAAATTTTGAGGCAATTACCCCCAAAATCAAACCCACCATTTGTGGTATGGTACCTTGCAGTACAATTTCAGAGAGATCCATATACTTGAACACAAGTTATTGTCTGGAAACTAGAAAAATGCTTATTTTTGGCCCCTTTTTGGCCCCTTATTCCTAAACGTTTTGGGCAATTACCCCCAAACTCAATTCCAGCTTTCCCTTTGTTATATAGAACCTTGTAGTACAATGTCAGAGAGATCCATACACTTACACACAAGTTATTGTCATGAAACTAGAAAAATGCTTGTTTTTTGCCCCTTTTTGGCCCCTTATTCCTAAACGTTCTGGGCAATAACCCCAAACTCAATTCCAGCTTTCCCTTTGTTATATAGAACCTTGTAGTACAATTTCATAAAGATCCATACACTTACACACAAGTTATAGTTATGAAACTAGAAAAATGATTGTTTTTTGCCCCTTTTTGGCCCCTAATTCCTAAAATTTGGAGGCAATTACCCCCAAAATCAATCCCAGCATTCCCTTTGTGATATGGAACCTTGTGGTACAATGTCAGAGAGATCCATACACTTACACACAAGTTATTGTCATGAAACTAGAAAAATGCTTGTTTTTTGCCCCTTTTTGGCCCTTAATTCCTAAAACTTCAAGGCAATTACCCCCAAAATCAATCCCAGCATTCCTTTTGTGATATGGAACCTTGTGGTACAATGTCAGAGAGATCCATACAATAACACACAAGTTATGTCTGGAAGTTACAAAAATGCTTATTTTTGGCCCCTTTTTGGCCCCTAATTCCTCAACTGTTGGTACCATAACCCCCAAAATCAATCCCAACCTTCCTTTTGTGGTATTGAACCTTATGGTAAAATGTCATAAAGATCCATTCACTTAAACTAAAGTTAGAGTGCGAAAACCAATGTGTCTTCGGACAACGACGACGACGACGCCGACGTCATACCAATATACGACCGCAAATAAAATTCAGTTGTCCAACCAAAATTGACTTTACAAATCAGCTTTGCATTCAAAAAGCTACAAGTTTTCACTACCCAATTAAATGCTCTGCTGGGGCACAGTTTGATACGACCGCAGAGGTCGAACCCTGAACAGTTGGGGCAAGTATGGACACAACATTCAAGCTTGATACAGCACTGAATTTGGATTGTAATTAAACATTTGACACAGCATAGGTTTCTGACACAGAATGAATGTGGTCTAAGAACTTAAAATTTTTTAATTTACGTATTCCAACCATATCATTATTATTTGCTTTTATATATAAATCAGAAATAACCAATTTAAAATGGAAAATTTTAAAGAAAAAAAATGAAAAAAAAATCCCCCCCCCCAAATTTTTTGAACCCCCTTATCAATCCCCACCTTCCTTTTGTGGTATTGAACCTTATGGTAAAATTTCATAGAGATCCATTCACTTAAACTAAAGTTAGAGTGCGAAAACCAATGTGTCTTCGGACGACGACGACGACGACGACGACGACGACGCCGACGCCAACGTCATACCAATATACGACCGCAAAATTTTTTTGCTGTCATATAAAAAGAAGGGGGTGGGGTTAACCCTCGTGGACTTCCCCTAAATTTTATTTTATTTGTTTTATTGTCGAATACAAGAATAAATATGGTTTAGGGGTGGGAATCTCAACTGTTTACAATTTCTCAAACAGAAGGGGGTGGGGGGTTACCACATTGGACTTCCCCTATATTTCATTTGATATCTATTATTGTCCCATACAAAAATATATATGGTTTAGGGGTGGGGATCTCGACCATTTACAAGTTCTCAAACAGACACGCTGGGGGTGACCCCAGGGGACTCACCTTTTATTTTATTTGATTTGTAACATACAAGAATATATATGGTTTCAGGGTGGGGAGCTTGCACATTTACAAGTTTTCCAAAAAAAGGAGGGTAGCTGTGAACCTGAGGACTATCCCAATATTTCATTTGATTTGTTTTATTGTCCCATACAAGAATATATGGTTTAGGAGTAGGGATCTCAACCGTTTACAAGATAAAAGCACATTATCAAATTGAAGGGGGGTAGGGGTAAGAATATATATGATTAACGGACACTTAATTATCTACAAAATGTCTAATAATGAACAATAAATTCCAAACTTCATTTATACAGTAATACTAGTAAGTTTCAAACTGTATATAAACAGTCCTACAGATCTTATCAGAAAACAGAAAATTTTCAAATAAATCTGTCACTCCAATGATTATCATATGCAAAAATATTTCCAAGATCTAATTAATAATGAAAATAAATCATTATCATATGCTGAACTATTTATAATATCTAATTGAACAGAACTATGGTTGTTTAACATAGTACTCTAACATAATTAATAATGTAATAATCTTCAAAATGTCTAATGATATAGCTTATAATCATTACCACTTAGGAAATAGATAATTTTCAAAGTAATCTGTCACTCCAATTTTTATTCTGAGATAAGACAAATCATAACATTATAACAACAGTAAAATATTTAAAAATTCTACTTTTGTATATTAAAAATAGCGATAACTCACAAAGGAGATATACTAAAATCTTGAAAATTAATAGAGACCTTCATTAAGTCCCAGGAAACAACATATTTAAATTTGAAAAAAATTTGTTAAAGCGTTTTCATGTTATTGTGCGGACACTGTTTGGCAGCCACCAGTACCGCCCAGCCGCCCGCCGTATATCACCATTTTAATAACCGATATTTCCTTCGAAAATCCAGTTAAAATTGGAAAAGAAAAATTCAGCAATTTTTCCATTTGTAAAGGGACATAACTCTAGAAATTTATAGTGACACCACCAAAATTCAAACTCGATCTGTGTTTTGTGGAAATAAGCATTGTGTATAAGTTTCATAACATTTGGTTGGGGCAAACTAAAGTTAGAGAAAGGAAACCAACTTTGGGACGTACGTACGGATAAACAGACGGACAAGGGTAAAACTTAATGCCCCCTCTGCTACAGCGGGGAGCATAAAAATCAATTTACTTACTAGCAGAGCTGCTTTATCAGTAAGAAAGACATTGGTATCATTATAAAGATGTTGGACACGACGTATAAAATCTGTTACTTGACTTCGTACTGTTGGCTGCAAATAAATCAAAACATTCAAACATATTGAAAATCTAAAATCATTGATTAAAACAGTGCAATGAATTCTTAATAGAACAGATTTTAATGTCATCTTGCTCAATTTTTTTAAATTCATAATTCCATCAAAGTAAAAGCAGATATTGAATAATTATTTTATAGTACAATTTTATAAATTGGAAATTAAAACACATATTCTGATCACATTTATGCACAGAAACTGATAGTTGCTTTTTGTTTTACTTGATGATAACAATTCAAAACAGACTTTGCCACTTGCAAGAAAATGAATGTGTGATTGTGATACAATTCAGTGAATTAAAGATACAATATCAACATCAATTCATGCTGAGCAAACTAAAGCACATCTATACTAACAAAAAATTTGACACAAGGCTATAATAACATCTGAATCAATACTTTTATCATGAAAAAATCTACTTAAACTGCATGATTCATGCTTGACATGCTTTAAGCAGGGATAACATCAATTTGTTGTAAGGGACAGTACAAATATTTCATTTGTTATTCAGCATGAAAGGTGGAATTATATATTTGCAAGTGAATTTGTTAAGTGGAAACATGTCAACCCCTATTGCAGAGCCCCTCAGCTAAACAACATTCCCCGACAACATATATCAACCTGGCTTATTTCAGTTTCATCTGTATCAAGCTGATTAAATAAAAACAAAAACTAATTTATCAACAAGAAAATATTATACAAAATTCTTTTTTATTATTATTAATATTTATTTCAATTTCACTTTTATTCAATAAGTTTGATAAACTTTTAATTACCAATTACAAGTAAAAACTTTCTTTATATTTGCCATGAATGTGTAAATTTTTGGCCATAGATTTTTAGTACGAGAACTATCAGTTCAAAGATGATCTACATTTTTTCAATTGACCTTAATTTCAAAAACTGAGCTACTTATCCCTAAACAGGGATTATGAAAACTTGTTACTAAAATTTACAGCTGAAACTAAAATAGTAGAACTATTTCATGTCCTTTAATAGGCCAAAGAATAACCTAAAATGTCAGTTACTATTAATTTTACATTCACCAAAGTTCAGGCTTGTCAATATCAACGTACTTATGTATACTACTACATTCACATATATCTTAAAACTATCTTAATACATGAAGTATGGCTCTTCATACTTTCTTTTTCACTACCTAAATTATAGCTGTATGACATCAAAATAAATTGAATGAAACAACATTTACACATTCATATGAACATAAATAAGACAAAATGGTAACCATACAAAAGACAAAGAGATTTAAAAGTATTGCAAGTTGACAGGTGAGCATTTTACAAAACAAACAATATCCATTTTTCAACAACAATTTTTTGTGTATGGTTTGGTTCAATGTTGACATAAAAATTGAGGTAAATATTTAAATACATACATCAGCCAGTCGTCCTGATGGAAACAAATTGTCTAAGAATTCTGAAGACTGGGTTGTTAGGGGATACAAATCCTCTTCAACAGCACTGTACTTCCTGGAAACTACTTTCACACTGAAATAAAAGATAGATTCTAGTTAAGAAAATAATACCAGGTTTCAATCTACTGGATACCATTTCCACACAATAATACACCTTGTGACAATTTCAGTCTAAAATTAACAGTATACAGTTTTCATTTCACAGATGAATCTTTCACACTAAAAACAATCTAACAAAGTGCCCTTTGAAATGAAAAAAAAAATCACTTTCATACTTTAAGACAATGGCAGAAAATTGTTAAATTGACTATGACCATATGTCTAATAACTACTCAATAAGGTACAAACCACTTTATAAGGGAGGATGCTGCCTCTACAAAGCTCTGTAAAACTATTGACTCTTCCTCAGAGAGAGGGATGGCTTGAGGACTCCGTGGTCTCTCTGTTTTCTGTTTCTCTGACCATTGGGTTAAGGTCTTCTCAAATGCCTGAATGAATATAATTTGCAAGATGATATTGTGGTGTGCTTGGTGCCTAATGTCCTGAAACAAATCCATGTGCTAGCTGTGGTATTCAATAATTTATCACAGTAAATCTACAAAACAGTTCTGGCATACCAAAAAATTATAACTAGAACTCTAGCATGTCAGCTACAGCCCCACTTGCACATTTTTGAGTGATATTGATAAATACAATGTGGTATATTTTTGAGTGGACTTTAATAACATTTTACCATCACCATTTATCATATAGTCCAGATACCTTAAACCAGCTCTACAGACAAGAATCACCACTCACTTTTGTGGTTTACAAGGATAGAAAATATGCTACATAGCATATGACCACCAGCAAAAACTAAGGCCTTCCTTTAATAGGCATAAACACATTGCATAAGAATGTGCTTTACTTGATGCAGTCTGGACTTATGATACACTATAGAAGTGCTACAAATGGACAGACAGACAGACTAGTCGACAGGGCCTAAATGACAGTCCTTTTGTTTGATAAAGGAGAAATAGTTTTTTTAAATTCAACTGAAAACAAGCAAAACTATGCTAAAATGTCAACCTCATGACAATCACAAAACTAACTGTGGAATTGTAACAGCACTGTGACCTACCCTGTCCCTAGTCAGCATTTGTGCTCTGTTCTTATGGACAATTCTGATATAGCCTGGTGGTTGGTTCCAAGCCTCACCATCGACTTGTACAGGAACAGCTTCATCACCAATTATTGTTATCTTTACTGTTCTACTCTGTAAAAGACATAAACATAAATTATATGAAGAAATTTTTTGGTATATTTGTCCTGAATATATGCTTTTAACACTGGCTGTTTTTTATTTTGTCCTAATTATGGCTTGAAAATTGGTTGTTGAGTTAATTGTTGGTATTGTCATGAACATGCCTTAGTTAAATATTGGCTGCTGCTTTAATTTTTGGTGTTTTGCCCTGAATATGCCTTAAACATTGATCATTGCATTGATTTTTTGGGATTTTGAGCGCAATATGCCTTAAAAATTGGCTGTTGCTTTAATTTTTGGTATTTTGTCCTGAATATGCCTTTAACATTGGCTTCTGCATTGAAAGCAAACAACAGTATTGATTGACCAATGGGTGCTTAAAGTACAGTGGCAAATATTACATGCATATGCCCTTTAGAGCAAGAATTCCAAATTTTTAGATTCTGTGTAAAGCAAATATATAAATACCTGAGCAATTCTATGATGTTGTATATCTAATACTCTGGAGACTGCCATCTGCATACCACCAAATACTGCTACAACTTCTAAAATCTTGTCATCAAAACTTGGGGCTTGAAATGTCTGAAATGACGAAACTATTACATTAAGAACTTTACATTTTTTTGTGGTCAACTTCTGATTAAGAGTGCAAATTTTTTTTTTACAAAAAAATACTCTAAAATATATTGTTTATTATATAAAACCAATCTGCAACACTATTGGACTACTTTTACAATTTCAAAAGTAAGTTATAATTCAAGACTTAAAATTCCCTGTAGAATATTATATTTAGCTGAAACATCTCCAAGAATAATACAGCTACTTCAGTTCATTGTCCTCCTTCAATTTGAATTGTTATAATCTTGTTTTTAATCCATAATACACATAATATATGAACCTAAAAAATATACTCACATCTTTTTCTCTTGTTCCTCCCCAAAAATTAGCACCTCCCATGTAACTGAAATACAAAAAACATATGTAAGATCTGTAAGTAAAGACAGTTATTTCAACAATACAAAACACATTGCTTGTTGATTTCACAGTATTATTTCAATACCATATTGAAAACTGTGGTGCATTTAGTGAGGTCAACAATTCTAGACATCAAGATTATATAAGAAGTAAGTCATAGTCATATAAAGACATTCTACCTAAATATAATAAGTATATGCTGTTTCAAAGATTTGCTGAGAAGATCTGAAGTTTCCCTGACAACTTGGTAGAAATTTGGTAAATACATCCTGGTCTTTTTAGTGATCGCATGGTCAATTAAAGTACCACTTCCTACATCTATCATCATTAAAAAAAAATATTTTAATTCAAATTTAATAAAAATTAAATTCAACATATCTTAAGTAAGCAAATGTGTTGACAGAAATATTCTATAGTTTTCAAGCAAAAAATGCAATATTTATTGAGCCTTTTTTGTAATTTGGAAACTCTTTTATAGTCTATATTAACTACAGTAAATTGATCCATACCTTGGAAAATTGAGTATTACAATGCCTTGTAGACTAGGAAGAGGAATTTTCTGTCCATCACATTCTAACTGTACTCGTTGATCTAAGTTTTTGAATGTCCTCTGTAAAATTTCCTTTCCACCCAGAACACCATACCACATAAAATTTTTGGTTCTACTTCTGAAACAAAGATTACAATGAAAGTGAAATTGTTCATATTGTCACAATGAAAATCTTTTTAATTAACTGTATTGTTTAGCATATTTCATCAAAAATATATATGCGTTTATTTTAGAAATAATTTACCTTGTTAATATATTTATAAATGTTTATTAAATAAAATAATGGTAGAATGATCTAGAATGGTAAAAGGAGAGATTGATTGATTGATTGATTGTTGGTTGCTTAACGTCCAGTGGTAAAAGAAAGAGAGAGCAAGAAAAGGTATATGTGATTTTTAACACCCTTAGCTACTACCGAAAGAGAGTACATGTATTTACTGTATAATACACTGAACACATCCGTGTGACAAGAAATTATAAAACTTATATTATTTCAAAATGGATAAAACTCATTTGACAGGGGCGGATCCAGGATTTTGGAAAGGGGGGGCGTAGTATGTAAAGATCGCCGTGCGGAGCGAGGCGAAATTTTTCTTGACCTTTTTTGGGCTACAAAACATAAAATAAGTGTAAAATGCACATTTTTAGTGACGGTTCCTAACGTGGGGTATGTATATTTTATAGTTAAAGTGTAAGCTTGGGTTGGACATTTTTGATGCCGCGCGCGCGCATTCTCCCCATTAGTTGTCTATTATAAAATGATTGAATAGATCTAAAGCTATGTACTAATATATATTTGATGTGGGATTTGTCAGTAAAAAATGGACATGGAAAATTCTCGTTTGTTGTATGGTTAGTTAGCATAACCTCACAGATTACTTGTTGTAAACATGGTATACGGCTATTCAATGAAGTTTATAATACGACCGACACGAACAAAGACAAACAAGCAATTTTTATCCAAATGTTTGGTTGAAATGTTTCACTCAACAAGGGAAGTGAGGGGTTCCAAATCAACCAACGGCTACGAATGAGTCTGAAAATCAAATGACAACGAAGTTGTGAATGACGGTCGACAAATGGAGACATAAAGGCCACACCCAGCAAGAAGGTTGCAGTTGGGCCTTGAAAAAAGTATTCAGTATATCAGTTCGGCGAAACAGACATTCCGGTCAGATATGGGATTTACATGCAAACCCCCCCCCCCCACCCAAAAAAAAATTACGCCCGTTTTTTATTCACCAGGTTCATTTAATGCTGAATAATTCTGTTGGATTTTTTTTTCTTATAGCAAAAAAGGGGACACGATAATTGTTTTCATCAGATACGGCCATAAATTTTGTTTAAGGCAAAAATCAGGGTCAGAATTTTTTCTCTAAAATATCTCAGACTGCCCTATCAAATCAAATGGTCCATACCTTAGACTTTAAATATATCTATAGCTTACTGACTGTGGATCATTATTCAGCAATGTTATTAATTGGCTGGGGCGTGTGGGGTTAAACATATTTTCGTAGGTAAATAATATTGCTGTGGAACTTTTTTTTTCATGAGATTGTAATAGAGTATTACTTTCTGCTGAGTGGAAATATGAAATAGAAGTCAATACGTTCTTGCTCAATCCTTTGTCGCTTTGAAGGCATCATGCTTGTCATCCTCCGCCTAAGCAATGTGTTACTGTAATTTGAATTTCAAAATGACTGAGTGACGTTTCAAACGTACTGATCAACTCCACCGTAGCGAAACACATGACTGACATAATCAATAATATATTACAGTAAATACGAGCGAAAATATCTTTATAAGTAAAGAATTGTCGCATAAAAATTAAATACACGACCGGAAAATGGCAAAGTTCTCGAAGTCTAGTCTGATTCATCATTTTACAAAAAAAAAAAAAAAAATGCTCCGCAGGGCGCAGCTTGATACGACCGCAGAGGTCGATCCTGAACACTTAGGGCAAGTATGGACACAACATTCAAGCTTGATACAGCTCTGAATTTGGATTGTGATTAAATATTTGACACAGCATAGGTTTCTGATACAGAATGAATGTGGTCTAAGAACTTAAAAATTTTAAATTGGACATTCACCTATTATGGTCCAATATCCAAAATCTAAATACATGGTTAGATTCAGCATATCAAAGAACCCCAAGAATTCAATTTTTGATGAAATCAAACAAAGTTTAATTTTGGACCCTTTTGACCTCAATGTGGACAAAGTTGATAATGGGGCCCAAAAATCAAAAATCTAAATACATGGTTAGATTCAGCATATCAAAGAACCCCAATAATTCAATTTTTGATGAAATCAAACAAAGTTTAATTTTGGACCCTTTGGACCTCAATGTGGACCAATTTAAAAACGGGGCCCAAAATCCAAAAACTTAATACACGGTTAGAATCAGCATATTAAAGAACCCCAAGAATTCAAGAATAAAACCCCATTGAAATTGGTCAAGAAATAAGCAATTTATACGAAGTATCTTCTTTTGCACAATACTGTGCAATTGAAAATTTCTTGCTATTGCGCAATACTGTACAATTGACAATTTCTTGCTATTGCGCAATATTGTGCTATTGGATATTTCTTGCTATTGCGCAATACTGTGCAATTGAAGATTTCTTGCTATTGCGCAATACTGTGCAATTGAAGATTTCTTGCTATTGTGCAATACTGTGCAATTGAAAATTTCTTGCTATTGCACAATACTTATTATATAATAATTTACACATCCTGTTTGGTGTGTCATTATTATTTGCTTTTAAATATAAAACAGAAATAACCAACTTAAAATGGAAATTTTTAAAAGAAAAAATAAGGAAAAAAAAAAAAATCCCCCCCCCAATTGTTTTGAACCCCCTTATGATTCATCACCCCCCAAACTCAATCCCAGCCTTCCCTTTGTGGTATGGTACCTTGCAGTAAAATTTCAGAGAGATCCATACACTTGAACACAAGTTATTGTCTGGAAACTAGAAAAATGCTTATTTTTGGCCCCTTTTTGGCCCCTTATTCCTAAAAGTTTTGGGCAATTACCCCCAAACTCAATTCCAGCTTTCCCTTTGTGATATGGAACCTTGTAGTGCAATTTCAGAAAGATCCATACACTTACACACAAGTTATTATCATGAAACTAGAAAAATGCTTGTTTTTTGCCCCTTTTTTGGCCCCTTATTCCTAATATTTTGAGGCAATTACCCCCAAAATCAATCCCAGCATTCCCTGTGTGATATGGTACCTTGTGGTACAATTTCAGAGAGATCCATACACTTGAACACAAGTTATTGTCTGGAAACTAGAAAAATGCTTATTTTTGGCCCCTTTTTGGTCCCTTATTCCAAAACGTTTTGGGCAATTACCCCCAAACTCAATGCCAGCTTTCCCTTTGTGATATGGAACCTTGTAGAACAATGTCAGAGAGATCCATACACTAACACACAAGTTATGTCTGGAAGTTACAAAAATGCTTATTTTTGGCCCCTTTTTAGCCCAAAATTCCTTAACTGTTGGTACCATAACCCCCAAAATCAATCCCAACCTTCCTTTTGTGGTATTGAACCTTATGGTAAAATTTCATAGAGATCCATTCACTTAAACTCAAGTTAGAGTGCGAAAACCAATGTGTCTTCGGACGACGCCGGACGACGCCAGACGACGACGACGACGACAACGACGACGACGCCAACGTCATACCAATATACGACCGCAAAAATTTTTTGCGGTCGTATAAAAAGTTCAAGCAAAGGGGGGGCGTACGCCCTCTACGCCCCCCTCTGGATCCGCCACTGTTTGATATGACTTTGGTTAGATTATCTATAGTTAAAAATTTCCACTTGTTATAATTAAAGTTTTCATGGTTTTTGTCTGGGACATAGCTAGGGTAATCATACGGGTGCGACTTTTTTTTTAAACTTCCAAATTATGTTAAACTGTTTTTTTTTTTAGGTATATTGGGGTATGTTGGGGTATATTGGGGTATGTTGGGGTATATTGGGGTAAAAAGTCACGCCGAAATCACACTTCCGGTACATGTAAGAGTTAACTTTTCTTTTCCCGCAATCGTCAAGTAGAAACTTTGCAGGTTTTTTGGGGGTTTTGAAAGTTCCTTATGTAAGGTAGGTTTTATTCTTTCTTTATCAGTAACATATGGTCTAGTAATGTTATGTATAAATATCAAGTTTTAAGTGTTACACAGTATGAAAGTCAAGATTAGTTTGGTGACTCGAAAAAGAGTGGAGCCAATTTGACAGCTTGTTTTGTTTGCAATTATTTAAGCATAATAATTTTTTACCAAAAAATTTTGTTTTTAATGTGTGATATTTTGAAAAATATAACCTTAATTCACATTTTTTTTTTGTCACTTACTATTATGTGACTAGCTGCATTTCTTGTCAAAATCTTCTTCCCTTGAGGGACTGTAGAAACTCTCAGTACTTTCACCCTCCAAATTTGTTATTTTTAGCTATGGTAGTATAAGACAATTCTATCGACCTGATACAAAACTTCTTATGAAAAACACCTCAAGGAATATGCAAACAAAAAAGAGAGTTTAATTAATCGGATAAGCAAAATTGGCACCTTTTGATCTAAATAAACAAATTGATTTCATAAACATTTAGCTATAAATGAAGACTTTACTTTCAAATAAGCTTGTATTTATAATTTATTCTATCATTGAGATAACCATCGGCATTCTGTTAAAAAATGTCTTTGGGTGACTTTTAAAGACAGAGGCGTCACAAGTTCAATACACATAGATTCAAAATAATTTGTTGTTTATATTTGTCTATTATTTTAGGTTCCATTTTAAACAGGCAAAGTTGAACTAAGATAGTTTCTGAAAAAATGTAAGCACCCTACTCATATAAATCAAGTATTTATACATGGCCATTTTTCAAATAATTGAATTTGAGCGTTCCTGATGAGATACATAAAAAGTGCTTTGGATGCACCAAATTATTAAAATGCTATTTTTGTGAGACATAGGTATTATACATCCAGTGGTGGCGGCAATGGTGTAAACTATTTGTTTAAAGCTTTATATTTCAGAAGGTAGAAGACCTGGATGCTTCAGACTTTGTGTGCAGATACTTTATGTTACAAAGTTTC